AGGCATGCTTGAACTGTACCATTAGTTCTTTGTACCACAGAGGCAAATTCTGGTTTGCTTTCGCCAAGGAATACCGGTCAGCTTAAACTCAGTGCCAACTACCTGGATGCATCTTTTTTCAGCGTACCCAGAGTGGCATACATAACTAATTAATTAAAATAGTGATTGATTCCTCTTGAAAGGCCTAGGATTTGTGTTAATTTTTAAGCAAGGTCATACTGCCTGCATGGCTTCTTTGTATAACCTGGGGCTTGTAAAGGCATCAACGTTCAAGCAAAGGGGAATTCGCAAGAGCAGAATTTAGAAAGATTGTTCATACTTCATTGAACAGCTCTGTAGAACGCAGAGAACATTTTCACAAGCATGTTTGACTGGGGCAAAATTTGCATTATTCCTGTCAGTGGGGTACGAGCAGCGATGGAGGTTCACAAGGTCAAACACAAGACCTGTCCCTCCGTGGGCCACAGGTCAGAGCTCAAGTACTCAAAACAAAACTTCATTTGTAGTCACCCCTGGCTATGAAGGTGTCTTTACAAGTCATGCGCTCTTCTCTGTAAGCCTTTATTTATTGCTAACCTTAAACTGTGCCCCAAAGACAAGCAAGAAAATACCCCTGGCCAGGTCAATGCAAAACCAGTCCTTATCTGTGCGATTAACATCCAAGTAAGCAGTATCTGGCAGCTTTGCAATGAGCCAGTGCAGAATTATTCAGACAGGATGGAAGAAGCAGCAGGAAAAGAACAACCTGGTACAAACAAATGAGGAGTAATTCCAGCTGAGGAATACAGGCTGATAAAAGACAACCTGCAGAAATAAGAAATCTAGACATAAATACAGGTGAATGGCTACACAGAGCAAGTTCATTCCTGATGTAAATCTGCAAGCTGAAATGTGAAGCAGAATATCCAGCAACCAGCTATGAAACTCTATCACAGACGCCAGAACTTAATAATGACCTGCACTGTTTTTTTCAGGGCTAGCAGTCCATCTACCAATGGATTAAATTCTTTTCTCTTTATGTTTTTTTCCAGGTTATGCAGCAAATCTATCACCTTTTCTGAGGTCAGTGAAACTATAACACCCTTGTAATTTAAGTTACTTATTTCTTAAGTAAACAGATAAATTAGACTACCATAAAAACTGAGATGTATCTAAAGAAAGTGGCAGCTCTCCAGGTAAAAAGAATCAGCCATCTGCTCTAAAAAAATCTAATAAAACCCTGTGACAGATCACTTCACTCACTGAGAGAAACTTGGAACAGTGGGGCTGAAATCAGCAATGTGAAACTGGAGGAGTCACACAACAGAGAGGTTGCAAATAATCCAACGGGCAGTTCATCATTTGCTTTGCCACATGCAGCTTCAACATCTACCTTAAGTCTTAATTATAATATTATTATTATTGTTGTTGTTGTTGTTATTTTTAATCCTTTTTGAGGTCTACTTACAAATTTGAGATGGTCTTTAGCTGGTAAACCTTTTGGGTTTTGAGCATTACTACACAAAGGAGTAGATAAGACAGAACTAGAAAACGGGACCTTTCTATTTTATTTCTTGGAGTGATTCTTCTGTTTAATGACTTTTCATATAGTCAGTTTGTCACGTTTGGAGTGAAGGTATTTAAGAGTCTAGAGGTTAATTAGAAAAACAACAGCTGACTTTACTGAAGGAGTTTAATTCAACTATATGAACAGAGACAAACTGTTTTCAACCTAGAAGATCTGTTTGGAGCTGGTTTGTGCTGGAATGTCACCCACACAAATCTTGCGAGGGAACATTAAGTGACAATATGCTCAAAATGATGAAGCTTATGTTGGAGCAAAATCTCTGCGGCTGAAAAAAAACGCTTAAAGGAGGAAACATTTACATTTCAGTTTCTAATTTAGCTATTACTTAATTAAATATAAAAGTTTGATGTATTTTTTGCAAACACCTTCACACAACCTAAATTTCTTGTCACTATGTTGGTTTTCTTCATGCTTTTCCCTCTTGTTTAGGCGCTTACCTCAGGCCTTGTTCCAGGATAGGGTGTTAAGTCTTTAGACTGGCTCTGTATTGTAGACCAACTGGCAATTTAAAGTTAGGACTTTGCTTCTTAAAAAGAAATTAAATATTTCTACAAACAGTAGGCTTGGTTCTCCACAGTTCTGGGGCACGTGGGCTAGTCCTTCCTTCCCCAGACCCAGCCCAGTTTCCTTCTGTTGGCTGAAATTAGCATGATGAACATATGAATGAGCAAATACACCACCACCCCCCAAATAATAAAAAATCATTTTGTTCAGGGCTGCAACTCCACTTAAAGTACCTTCCTCTCTTGCACTGTCATTTCCTCTCCCCACAATGAAAGTCTTAAACATGTGCAATGGAAAACACAGCATCTCAGTCTGGAAGATGCTCAAAATCAAGATTGGGAAAGAGGAATTTTCTCCACAATACACATTTCATAAAGACGGAGATGCATACCCCTAGAGTCTGATCTTTCTGCTATTGGAAAAGTCATTGCTCTTGCTGCTGAATTGCTACATGAACAGTGCCTGTGGCTCGAGGGGCACCCTCAGGCTCCCCACATGCCAAACAAAGGAAGACTAATTTTCTGCCTGTAGAAACAGGAGTACTGGGGCATAGTCCCTGGATACTGTGAGCTACTTACAGCCATACTGCATTAAGGAGGATTCTGCATTAAGGACGTTTCTGCTATTTAGGAAGGAAGAGTAAGGAGCGGGTAGGATCCTGTACTCTTGGATCACACACTGCCGCTCAGAAACACTGCAGAGAAATACGAAAGAATGCGATGCTGACTGCTGAAGTGCAGAGGGCAGTTGTTTAGATAGACAAAGATCTACATAAGGCTGGTTTGGGGTTAAAGTTTGAAGTGTGCATCATTGCCAAAATCTACCTTTTGATCTGCAAAGAAGAGAAATGATAGTACTCACAAATAAGTGAAAAAAGCACAATGTGAGTCTTTATTAAGGCAGAGCGCTGTCAAAGTAAGTATCGATTTTCTAACTGTGTAATGCCAGCCACACTGTATAAAGCAAATGAATGCAAAGGTAACATATGAGAGGTGGTTACGGCAATTTGCCTATCAAGGCGACCAGTGTATTTGATTTACATGTTTCTGTTTCCTACTAAATATGTCAAGCAATTAACTATCCTTTTTTTTTACTGCTCAGGTGAATTCAATGTTTTTACCCTCTCTCTCTTGAATCTTTGTTGCTTGATCTCCACTGAACTGTGATACTTCATCTTGCATTAGATTGTAATACCAAAACTGTGTTCACCCATGCAGTAGGAGAGCTCCCGTAGGACACTACTGAGATACACGCAGTGGTAAGTGATGAGGTAGGAGTGGGTTTCAGTCAACTGGCATTTATGTGTGCTGTATATATCATGTTTCCGAATTCAAGCAGCAATCACTTTTTAAAAATTAGTGCAATGGCTTTAATTACAGGAGAACAGCAACAAAGAACCTATAATTAAAAAAAAAAAATCACATGGTTGATGCAGTGAGTAGTGTCTTTGTCATAAGTCACAGTGAGTCCACTCTACTCTAGGGTTATGTTCAATCATCAGTCAGCTTCAAGGGCAATCGCTTCTAATTAACAAGTCTTTTGAACTCTTCCAGGGAACGTGGCCCAGACCTCTGAGGTACTATAACAACAGACACGTAGCTCTTAAGGTTGTCTGTCCCTTATGTTGACTTCTTCAAAAATGCAAGGCAGAAAATTCCGTCAATAAAATTAAACCAATAGTATTATAGTTGCATTTTTGTGCCATGTGTCCCCCTCCCCAGCCATCCAAGTCTTTCTCACTAGAGAACCCCCTTCCATGCCCTTGATAATTTTGCATGTGTATCCATACACAGAGAAGAAGACAGGCTACTATGGCTGTGCAAAGAGACCATCTCCCTCCTGTACTTTCATGAGTACTATCAGGGCTTGAAACTAAAAGTACTGGTTTGAGTTGGGTTAAATCCGGCTGACCTTGGGGAGGCAGGTGGCATCCATCTAAAACCTCGAGTTAGAGTCAGGTGGCAACAACAGGGTGTTTTGAACAGACGGAGCAGTGTATTTTGGGCTGGAAGAGGGTTGAAAGAGTAAACAAAGCCACCGCCTTATGTCTGAGGTTAGATTTTTCTGATTTGTGGTGTATTCAGGACCAAGCTAGGAGAAACTCTTTTTATACCGACAGATGTGATACAGACAAACATGATTTCTTTGAAGAAACAAAGAACACCACCACCCGTTTCTCCTCCAAACTGTAAGAACGTGCAGTATCACCGATATCCTGGCTAAACCCAAAGGGATGATATCACTACTGCTCTTTGATATGCAGATACGGGGAGCTGCTATTCTTATCGTACTGGTTTTGCATTTAGCCTGTGGAAAACACAAACAGGTTCTCCGTGTTCTCCCTGTGCTCGCCCCTCTCATTGCACAACCGCAGCGGACGGGCTGATGGGCCGCGGTCCTCCGGCGGAGCCGGTCTCGCTGCTGGCCACGGATGCACGTGGGACTCGCTGCCCTGGAGCATCACACGCCACGCCAGCCTGGTTCATTCAAGGCACGCTACGTAAGATATTCCAGGCTCCTTTTAATCCGGGCCGTAATTGATAGCTGGCTTTTGCAAAGAGCAATTTCGCAGGCGTCAAGAGCTTAATCGCAGGCGAGCATCCCTTGAGTCACGTCAACCCCAGGGTCACGGATGAACATCCCCTGAATCACGTCGACCCAGCCACCCGCCCCCATTTCAAAAAACCAAAACCAAACCACCAACCTATAAAAAGACAGGCCCTTTAAAAACAAACAAACACCCGCCTCCCTACAGTGACCGGTCTTTCGGGAATCCCAGGCGGCTCTGGGCCGAGGAGGGACTCGAACCCGCGAACCCAGCGCACCTGGACTCCACCCCGCCCTCCCGGGGGGGGGCTGAACCACGCATGCGCAGAGCCGCCGGCCGGCCTGCGAGGCTGCTCTCGGGGGGCGACGGCAACGCGCTTGCGCAGTAACTGCTGCCGGCCTGGAGCGGGAGCCGCGGCCCCCTCCCCCAGCCGCGCCATGGCTGACGCGTTCCGGAGGGCGGAGTCGGGCACTCAGGTGAGGCGCTGCGCTCCC